ATGCATCCCTATCTTTTAAATGAAGTTCATTGTTGCTATACTTTTCTTTAATTACCGGCACGTGTAACTAGTGTTGTACCAGTTATACTATAATATTGGTACAAGTAAATATTATGCATGTTTTCGTGAATGTTTTACAGACTTATACTATGAGCGACATAAGTGTAAGCTGAATTTTTTTAGTGAATGTACGTTAATCCATATTTCAATTAATTGATTTAATACTCAAATCAAACTATTCAAAACTTCTTATACGAAATTCATAATAAAATTGATATAATTTTTAATAGACGGCACTCCGCTTTCTTTACTGCTAAGACGTCATGTCAAGACAAGTAGGAAACGGAAGTGAACTTGACAGTTTAAATAACGGTTGCAATTTTGTTTTTAATAGTATACTGTTATTATTTCAATATTGGAAAGAAAGCTTGTTTTAATAAAAATATTCTTTAAAACAAAAAAATTATAGTTATTTTACTTAACTAAATACGATACCTACTTAAATAAAACTTCTTTTGTTTTTTTTATTTTTTACTAAATACTAATGTATACTAGAATATAATTCTAGTACTGATTAATTAGACTTGGTACCAAATTTATTAGTTAAGGTTCCCATCACTATTTGCTTATTAGCAAGTGTCGCAAACTTGATTTTAACCAATTAGCGTGCATTTCAACCCGCCTTCCCCGTACCGCTTACCTTAGACTTTTGACAGACAGGTTTGAATGCAGAAGTACATACATTAGGCGTCTATTCGGGCTGTGTAGTCGTTGCCGACGACGAAGTGCCCTGGCCTAACAGCTTCATAAACTCTCACAAACAAGAGGAGACCTGTGAGGACATATGCCACAGAACACTATTACCATATGTGGGCAGTAAGGCTAAAACGTGTGGCCGTGAAAGAAAAGGGGAGATCTCCCGCCGGGCAAGGTGTTCTGCCCGGGGAGCGGCCAACACTACATGTGATAGTTCGGAGATGTTCTATATATAATGTTTATGATTCGGAATGTTGATAGCGCGATTTAGGCTTCGGTGTGTTATCGCTTGTGGCGCGACGACAGCGCCGCTACAAACGTTTAACGCTATTGTTTAAAAGAGTCGCTCAGACAAAAATTTAAGGAAATTAATATATTATCTTTGGCCTCTCAATACATTTACGAAAATGCAATGTACGTACACAAAAATGGAAGTAATTTTACAAAAATAAATGATATTCATTTTGTAAATACTAGGAACGGACTAAAGCTAGTAGTACCAGTTACTCGACTCCACCAGTAATTCATTCTTGGGGCGAGGTATACGGTTTTACAACAAAATCCCACAAAATATACAAAATTTGATCGGCACAAAGTTCAAAAACTTTATTAAACTAAGTTTGTATAAAAAGGGTTATTACAATATTAAGGAATTTATGGATGATAATAACCCCTGTGAATAGTGATCGTTACCAAGCTACTTTGATTATATAATCAAAGCCAAGCTATTTCTAATTTGTTTTGTGTTGTTAATTGTAACATACATGATTGTAAGATGTTATTTAAAAAAAATTGTCCCGCTTTGTTTCTTGCTGGTTCTTCCCAGGACAGAGGTTTTAAGTATTATTTATATTCTATATTGAATAAAAATGTTGGTTTGTTTCAGTGTCTGTTTTTAATTTTTCAGACATGCAAGTTTTCTCACTATGTTTTTCTTCATCGCTGAGCACGTGGTCAACGAATACTTAAAATTTTAATTAGCTACAATAATCGTTAGTACGTCTGTTTTATAGTCCGTTCGCGTTAAGAAAATAGTGAGTCATCAGTGCAACTACAAGGTAAAGGTGTATTCACAGTGGAGTAAAAATTCTTTTTTTTTTTCAAACATTTAATTAAGTTTAATGGAAACAAATTTTCTTAAAATTATTTAAATCACTTATCAGTATTGCTAGATTCTCCAGTTACATTAATTATGAAAGAATTTTGTTCTGCAAGTTCCATGATGTCATTCGAATTCCACATAGTATTTTCTTCGCGCATCACGTGGTCGCAGCACTTCTTCCAACGATTAGCGTCTATTAATGCTATTGCGTCATCTAATATTTTTTATGTCACTCATTTTGAACGTGGAGTTATTACATGAACAGGAATATCTTCGTCAGCTTCGCAAAGTGTCATAATTTTGTTTAATAACATAATTAACGACTACCCGACATTGGTAGTCGTTATTTAAATATATTGAGTGAACTTTTCTCCTTATTGCACATTTGTCTAGTTCATTTAATTTATCGACCGTCGATAGTAGAGCTCTTTTTTTTCACGGGTGATATTAATGTGTTAGTATCCTTTTGTTCTTTAATAATTTTATAAATAGTATTTTCGGACACACCACATGCACTTGCTGTTTTATTACTGTGCTCTCCACAGTCGCATTTAAATCACATAGTTTAAAGTACTTATAAACATTGTAAATTACGCGTCTCTCTCCGCTATGGATTATTGATCCACTTTTATTCTTTCGAATAGGTGAGGTATTCATTTTCAAAATTTAAATGTTGAACGAGTAACACGCAAAATACACAGCCGTTTTGTTCGTAGGCCTGACTTCAACTGGTCACTGTGAACTCGACTTTCTAATTTCTTGCATTTTAATTGGCTGGGGGGCGTGGCCAGGCTGGCGGACGACAATGACTCCCTATTTTCTTAACGCGAACGGACTATAGTCACCGTGTAAGTTCTGATTCTGAACTGACTGACTGACTTCTGAACGATTTAACTACAATGCGAGGATCCGATAGGTGCCGATGTAGTCAAATTATTAACGATTCTATATTTACGGATCAAAATCATTTATACATATTTAAAATGTATGTTGAATTAGTGGCAAAAAAATACAATATCTGGACATGAAAAGCGGAGCGGTTTCCATTACCGTTCCAGCCTATCAAAAGTCCACTGCTGAACATAGACCTCCCCCAAAGATTGCCTCATAGGAGGGATATTGGCCATAGTTGCCACGCTAGGCAATCGTTATTAGGAAGACGCTGATACTCATTTCCTGATTTGTTTATGACGATACCCTATACCCTACAGAGCCGTGGTAGCTCAGATGGTTAACGCTCGCTGTAAATACAACAGAACGCGAGTAGCCCGGGTTCGATCCCCGCGCGCACCAATGAAATTGTTAATTGCAATTTCAAGTGCTGATTTACCACGTGCTCGGCAGTGAAGGAAGACATCGTGAGGAAACCTGTATGTCTAAGGAATAAGAAAAAAAAAGTATTTCGCGTGACACGTGAAGTTCGTCAACACGCATTGGGGCAGCGCGACGGACAATTTACTGCCCTAAAACCCTCACTGAAATGAGGGGAGGCCTGTGCCCAGCAGTGGGACGTATATTGGCTGTAACTTTTATGACGATACCCACGGAATAATATGGGGTAGTAGATATACTAGACGGTACGCTGTACGGTAAATGGCGTTGTGGTCGAATATAATCGAACTCACCGCGCCACCTGTAAAGCGTAGAACAACTTCTGTCGAGCCAGCTATTTTCAAATATATAAGCAACAGCCTTAAAGAAGCGATCAGTTTAGTGAATCTGAAAGCTCTTCGGATTTGTTAAATACACTTAACACATTTTGTTCATTAAGCGTAAATATACAAGAATTCTCTATCCTTCTATGTAAATGAGTTAGTAATCGACGCAATTTCCAGGCTGTCGTGACAGACTGTGATGCGCAGTTTATATGCAATAAGCCTTGCGTGATCGAAAACGTATTTTCCCTTCGAAATGTAATGGCCGTCGAGCTTAGGCGGCACGCTAGACACTGCCTGTCTCGTAGTTAAAGAGCTACAAAAATATTTTGATAAAAACTCCTTACTATAATTCAGTTTTTATTTCATTTAATTTGGTTTCAATTTATACAATATATATATACTACTGAATACAGACAAAACTTTAAAAGTTTTTCAAGTTTTGTCTGACTTCAGTAGTCAGTCAGCTTGTCTGACTTCAGTAGTCGCTTTTTATCTCTGAAAGTATTTGTGAATATATTTTTGACGTCCCGTGGGTGTCGTAAGCGGCGAAGGAGGAAAATAAACCAGGAGATTACGTGGTAAAGCCATGCTGCGGCTATACTAGTAGTATAGTTGTGGCACGAATGGGTCGGCTCGACCGGGGAAGGACTACGCTCTCACAGAATACCAGTGTAAAATAGCAGCTAAACGCTGCTGTGTTTCGTATGATGAGGGTAAAGAACCGGAAACCCATTTTACCTCAAACGAGGCTTACATCTTAGTCTTCACGGGCGACAACGCATCATTGATTCGTAATCGAGGGTAGATGTGGATGTCTATGGGCCATCAGGTGAACTGTGTGCTAGTTTGTCACTCCTACCCTATAAAAAAGATAATCAGCAGTGTCTTTCTTATAACAAGCAAAAAATAACTGTAAACTGTGGTTGTCCACCTATCTGCCAAGCACGGCAAATATCCTCCTCATTAGCAATATATGGGGAGGCCTTTGTTCAGCTGTGGACTGTTGATAGGCTGTAATGAATCGTTGAATGATTGTTTTACCGCTTTTAATTTGATTCGGCAGTCATGTAATTGTAGAACGAATAACGATTAAAATTTGTGAGTTGTTAGTCTATATGTCTGTATTTATCAAATTCAAAATTTATTTTACCAACAAATTGATAAAAAACATCATCAATCATCTACGATTATTTCTTGCAATTTCCCTCTTTTTTACTTCTGGCTCTTGGATTATATAATCCTGATGAAGTTTTTCCTAGTCTGAAACTGATACATCAAATCCCCCTTTTACATGAAAGAGACAAAAAACAGGAAACGTCCAAAGTAACAACCGAAAAGTTATTCCTTTTCAGACATTGCTTGTCTTTTGTCGTGTTCGATATGGGTCACTTTGGATTAGTTATGGATTAAATATATATTTTGGTATAAAAAAATCTATAGTTGAAAAACTCTTCTAAGTTTTACCTCGTGTTGTAAAGATAGCTATGGGTTCAACAAGTTATTTATCGAAGCCCAAGTCTACCGGGTACAGAGTAAAAAGTGGCTCTAGTGTTGGTTCTGACAAGGAGATGAACGGCAAATTAAAGCGCTCCAAGATAAGGTGAGTACAGATAATAAATTGATTTTACACATATATATTTTACATCTATTTAGATTTTGTGTATATGCATGAGTGAATAAAAATAATAGTTATATAAAATAGTGTTAAAATAGATTCTTTACGTGCGATTTTTTTTTTTAATTTTTGGAAATTGAATAATCTACGTATTTAGAATGACATTATGAGGAATTTGTTTCGAGCTGGCCTTATGAGTGATTTTTAGCCGAATTCATAAAAGGAGGAGGCACTCAATTCGACCGTTCCTATGAATTTTATACGTATTACGCGATATATTCTTCTATTATAAACTGTCTTCAATTATTCTTTTCTTTTGATAAAATAGGAATAAAAATAATATTTTATTCTTTTTAGTTCTTTAGTCGTTTTACTTTTTATTAAAATCTAATTTTTAAGATTAAATTTCTAAGCGTGTTATTTAAAAAAAATTAAAATAATTTTGTTATAAATTTCTAATGTCGAAGGTAATATTTTATTGATAGAGAACTCCTAAAAATGTTAACTGGATTGGATTAGGTACCTAAGTCCGACATTATATAGTAGATGATACTGGACCATATTGAAGTCTGGTTGATGCATTGACTTATGTACTTAACTATTACTACGGGTTGATAGAATACGGTGATAAGCGTATTACGGTGATACCATAAAGAAAAATTTAAAATAACTGATAAAAGAATTTAAAATTATTATTAATTTATAGATTTTTCTCAACCATTTCGGTTCATTCTCACCATGTTTTTTAGTGTTTTTAGCGTTACTTTCTTACATTTGGACGTAGGTTATTCTTTAATTAAGTAATTATATATTTAACAAAAAGGCTAGTAACCATCGATATATATTTACTACGCACTAGATAGTATGGCATTCCAAACACTCACTATGTTCAACTGAACTGTATTGCAATCCGTACACCTGTTATTGTGGCTTCGATATTCATGCAGTGCGGGGCGGCGCTAATAATAATTTTATATTAAATTAGCACATATGAAAATAACCGAAAATTAAAAAAAATGTACTCCATTAACAATACAATCTAAATAAAGAATTATTTATTATGACAATTTTCGCGCGTTTACATCAACTGCGCATTCGCGACTACTGTTTCCCGCGCATGTGCGGATACAGAGTAGTGCACATTTTTTGTTTAGAATAGCTTCTCTAGTACGTAGTACATATAACTCAATGTTAGTAACATTTATTAAAGGGGATTGCCCACTCTTCATAGACACTTCGGCCATGTGTGCCCACATATAAAAGTATATAGATATGATAATATGCAATTAAATGAATAAAATGGTAAAAGAATTGCTTTAAAAAAAGTCGGGATTTTAAAAATATATAGGTTTTTATTTTCACAAATACAGTTTTTTTAACAACTACTTTTATCAAGTTTATTGCGTTTTATTTCCTTGATTTTTAATTCCCGACATTTCGGGTGCTTTCCAGCACCCATGGTTACGGCGGACTGAGGTGACTGACGTCCCAATGTCAGTGTTAACCTGGAATACCTTCAGATTTTTAATTTTTCGTTTATGGTCCGATCTACAGAATGTACTTACTGTGTCTTGAAGCCTTGCAGTGGTATGCTTGGGTTTAGTTTTAATTTCATTAATTAAAGGGTCCCAAGCAGGTGGTAGTACCAAGCCTCCTTCTCTATTTAAATAAGGATTTTTTTTAATTTCAATAGTCTCACGTATCATCCTTGATAGGAATTGATGTTCCTTCGAGAGGATTTGTGGTCCATCAAATCCGATTTAGGTATATCTGGTTGGGGCCGTCTAGGATATGATCACAAACTGCAAACTTCCCTGAACTTTAATGCTTCACGTCAGCTATATGTTCTTTTACGCGGGTTTTAATTGTTCTTTTCGTTTGCCCCATATATGAGCGACCACATTCACAATCAAGGGTGTACACTCCTGCACCTTTTAGAAGAATATGACACTTGATTGATGGTAAGAACTCACTAATCTTCTTCAGAGGCTTGTAGAATGTTCTAATAGAACCTCATTTCAAGATGTAGCGGATCTAGTCTGTGACACCCCTGACATATGGTAGTACTGCACACGCTTGAATGTGGCCGGCTTCACTCAGTCACTGTGACGTAAGCGCGGGACCCGAAGCTTGTTGACGTGCAGAACTGACGGCCAGATGTTTGCTGCCACAGATCCCTTGTGCTCTCTGTAACAAAGATTTGCTCATGGTAACTAACTGTAAAGGATGATGGTGAGATTCATTGTTTTCTATACACAGTGTGACCTATGGTGTTGTTAGAATTTTGGATGACTAACGCATCTAGGAAAGCTAAGGAATTATTTGCCTCTAATTTACACATCTATACATCATTCAGGAACTGAGCAGGAAGCAAAATATTAGTCTGATGCCCAACCCAAATACCATATTACTGTCATAACATGGGCACAGCATCCAACAGTTCGACGGCCGACAGTACTTTTTAATTGCATTTCTACCAGAACCATTGCCACTAATTAAAATATATATAAAATAAACTTTACGACTAATGGTGATGACTTGCAATTCTAGCCCTAAGTAAAGATCAGCTAGGGCTTAAGTTTATTCCTTCCATAATGCTGCTCCTCTGGTTATTACAGAGTTCTATCCGGTAGCAACCATTAAATCTTATATGCTCACCATAATAGTAGCGAGCTTGCTTTAATTGGTATGTGACACAAGCAATTAATATTAAGTCGCTGTAAGTTAAAACAGGAAATTCCCTAACATTTTAAAGTCTACATTTATATTTCTAAAGTCTGCCTGCCCTAGCTCTATTTAGATTGTTTTCCCTAGCATACTCAGACAAATCATTATTTTCTCCATATTTTGGTGAACTATTTCAAGTATTTGAGCCGCATCATCCCTGTCCCTTATTTTTGTGTGGAATTTATTAATTATAGCAGCAGCCACAGCAGTCTGTCATCAAATGTGTAGAAGCCCTGTTAAAGTAATTTTGATGAAATATTTTAAATTCAGTTTTAAAAATGCAGTTCACCACCTCTACTAACCATTTCGACACATAGTCGCGGCTCTGGATTTATTAGCATATCTTGTCATTAACTGAGATTCACCATCTGCTGGAGACATTGCTGCGACCCTTAGACATCCACATCTATCCTCGATTACAAATCAAAATGCAGATGCGTTGTCACCCGTGAGGACTAAGATCATTTTCTCGTTTCCAGTAAAAAGGGTCTCCGGTTCTCTACATTCACCATACAAAACACAGCAGCATTAAGCTACTATTTCACGCTGGTATTCTGTGAGAGCGTGGTCCTTCGCCGGTCGAGCCGACCCATTCATGCTACAACTATACTTCTAATATAACTGCAGCATGGCTCTACCACGTATAACACACATACATAGTAATTGTCACTATGTATGTTTGTTATCGCAAAATGTAGTTAATCACAAAAGAGACATACTCGCAATGCTGATGGAACTGTTACAACCAGGTAAAAAACATTGTGCTTTTAAATGATTAGTTTAGCAGTACATTAGCACAGCAGTACACTGTGTGATGTATGATCTAAGCTTTGTTGTTCTGGGTGCAATACATTACTCACTTCAGATTGCAACGAGGACGGACTAGATGATTCAGATGGTTCCCGTTCTGCAGTTGAACGTGATGCTGTTCTATCAGTTCATTGCCAGCAATTATGATATACACAGCATGACAACGGCAACTGAAATAATGTAAAATACAAAAAATGAAGTCAAAGTGAAAAAATAAAAATAAAATAGATTTGTTTATTTCAAACTCAAATATAAATAAAATATTTATCAAGTTAAATGTTACTGCACAAGGACGGATTTAATGCCCTATATTATTTAATAATTAAGGCCTGACAGACTACCAGCAGCCCAAAAACAATGTAAAATCAACTGTCTCCTTTCTTGGTAGTTGATAAAAATGGTCAATCTCATAAATAAGCTAGTATGTTTGTGAGATATAGCTAGTGCAGATGTGAAAAAATAAAACAAGTTCTTGAGTTGATATACAATCAGTGTAAAAACATGTATAATTATCAGATATGAGGACCACATTTAATAAATTGAAAAATGTTAAACATCTTACCTTATCTTACCTCACGAAGCGCAAATTGTTCCTCACGTGGAGAATCGAATCCAAACAATGTGTGTGATCTTATTCTCATAAGTGTCAGTGCCACAGCTGATGTATACATGTTCAAGACGAACTATTGGTGCATTTTGCGAGTGGCATACTACACGTTCACTATACTCGAAACTTGTACCTAATAAAGAAGCTACAATTATTATATTGATATTATTCAAGTAAACTCAGTTATAAAGCATTTCTTAGAGGAAGACATGCCACATCGTGATATGTACCAACTATTTACCTGCTGTGTTCGAACTAATTGTTGAGAGATCAACAATTGCATTTTCCAACAAAACAAAATAACGCGATAAGATAACACGCAATTGAATTCTTGTGACATAACAGTGACAGGGGCCTACCTGTCAGATTCGATGTTGCCACTTAAAATTTTTTTTCATTTGTTGTTGTCATAAAAATCTATGAAAAGATATCGATTTTTATTCGATTAATAATATCATAAAAAAGAATAATCTTTGACGCGTTTTAAGTTCTGCATGCTTTTTAAAATATAGTTTCCTTTATTTATTGAAATTCCATTTCAAATGTATTTTTAAGAACAGTTAACTTGTGCTGTATTATTTTGTTATGCTTTAGAGAATTCGTGGTAAATCAGCTAGAAATTAACTTCTTGAATTATCATAACATGATTCCATTTTAAATGTTATGTTAAGAACAGATAAGAATAACAGTTAACTTGTGCAGTAGCGTTTTGTTATACTCTAAATAATTTTTGGTAAATCAGCTAGTAATTCGCTTGTTTAATTATCATAACTATAAATGTGAAGGTTGTCAATGAATTCAACCGAACCTATAACAATGGTTGTTTTAGTTTTTAACGGTTGACTACCGCTTTTGATGACTTGAAGTGAATAAAAACCCATTTTGTGCAATAAATTTTTTCTCTTTGGTAATGAATAAACCACAGAAACCCCTATAATGTATAATAGTCCTTTTTTTAGATACAAGTTGCATATTTTAAAGAACCGCAAAAACAACTTTGGTTTTTATACAAACACTATGAAAAACAAAATAATTTGTTGCTGGCGATAATGATAGTGGTATTTTGACTCGATTTAAAATATATGCTTGTTACTACAGAACTCTCTATGGGCCTGCGAGTCCGACTCGCACTGAACCACTTTCTTTCAACTTTTAGTTTTATTTTAATAAATAGTTATTTCGTTTAAGCGGAGCTCTTTTACTTTAGATTTATTACCTCTTTATCTATAATAATCAATCTGAGTAAGTAAAGTGTGTAAATACGATTCTTAAATTGTAAAAATAATAATTGGATTTGAACATCTTAGGTAGGTATTTAGTTTTATTTATTTAGAAAATATTAATTTCACAACTAATTATTGTAATAATATAAATTAATCACACAGCTAACGCCCTCATTAGCAATGTAATGGTGAACATCTCCGGAACCGTGCATCCTACGCAAAAATGGACCGCAGATTCATGATCAGAGCATGCCAAAACTTTTTTTTTTGGGAGGATCGTGGATCGACGAACGTCGTACTTGTACCACTTCTGACTCAGTGAGTCAGAACTGGTACAACGTAACTACTTATACCGCCATCTATCGGTAACTAAACGAAAAAACTTTAAGGTATTTCCCAGAATCGCTCCTTACGACACCCACAGAAAACTGCGGCTACTACATGGCATAAACATATGATAGCTATTTATTTTATGTGTTTAATAGATATTTACTCTATTTCTTGACTGCCTCGTTGGTCTAGTGGTTGTAGTAGTGCGACTGCTGATCATGAGGTCCTGGGTTCGAATCCGTTCCGTACCGTCAAGAAATTATCAGTAACTGCCTGGAGTCAGGGCGATGTCTCACCCCCATGCCTCGGAAAGCACGTAAAGCCGTTGGTCCTGCGCCTAATCTCTCTCCGGTCGTGTCGGTTTACCGTCCCATCGGAATATGAGAGTAAGGGAATAGAGAGTGCACCTGTGCTTGCACATACACTTGCGCACTATAATCCTATCCTGCGTCGATGGCTAGCCTCCGTTGAGGCAGGCCGCCGTGGCCGAAATTCGGTCTGGAGGACATTATTACTCTATTTCTTTATTACATACCATAAGAAAAATATACGAAAATAATGTATGCAAAAGAAGTATGCAATGGGCGGACTTATTTCTGACGGCAGTTTCTTCCAGACAACCAATGAATGGACTAGATTGCAAGAAGAATGAAAGAGGTAGGGCAAGTTGGTGTGATAAAAAAAGAGGTAAAAGAATTCACATACACAAACATATATAAAACACATATATTACACGAATGTGGTCTTTTTAGGGCATTACTTTTAAATTGTATTTTTTTGCAGTCGGGTTTTTGATTTTTTAAATTATTTATTTTTTAAGTTCTGAGGTAGTCTTAGACATAGTTTTAATATGCTACCGAAATACAGAATTTTTTTATTATAATTGTAATAGGTACTTACATAATATGATATTGGCGTTTTGTTCGAGAGGAATATTAAGGGGAAATATAATGTCAAATGGCTTAGCAAGATCCTTCGTTATGCCGAAAATATTGCAGCATTAATTTTGAAATAAATATATGGTAAAGTTGAGGATTAATGTTAGTGATTATGTTAGACGAAAACACGATTTCGTAAAATTTTCTCGATAGAAAAAAAATCCAAAGTTACCTCCAAAATAAACAATAAACCGCTGTTATTCATAAAATACTTTAAATAAGATCATGAAACTTTGCATACTAACTGAACTAATTATAAAGCAGTGCTTATGTTATTTACTTTTTTTAAAATACCATTATTTTCACTGTAAAAAGAAATTACCTAAACTATCGGCGTCTTGAGCTTGATTCCTGTCGTTCCGTTAGTATCGCTTAGGCTTTTGAAGGGAGAAGTTGTGTCGCTTACGATCAGAATATACATTACGCAACAGTACGACGTAAAATTAAAATGGGAAATAACCGTGATAAAAATAAGAAGCGGCTGGCTTGGCTTTAAGAAACAGGCATAAATATGATAAACCTAATGAAATAAGTGTCTAACGACCTTTCTACTTACAGTATTAGTGATTACAAATATTTCGGTACATAGCATACGACGCGCGGGGAAGTGGGGGCGAAATTAGAATTTGAGCTGACTTACTCTAACCTCTTAAGTCGATTTTTTTTGTAAAATATATTTAATTAATCAAAGTATGCACCGTTATTATCTATGCACTTTTGCCATCTCATAGGTAGTTCATTAATCCCTTTACTAAAAAAACCATGGGGCGAAAATCAATAAACTCTTTGAAGGCGATTTGGACTGCCGCATCGGAGTTGAATTGTTTTCCTTGTAAGAAGTTGTCCAAATTCCGGAAAAAATAGTAATCTGTTGGAGCATGGTCCTGGAGTACGGTGGATGTTGCAGACATTCGATTTGTAGCTCGTCTAACTTAGTGGTTGTTTGTTGTACAGTTTGTGGTCTTGCGTTACCGTGAAGCAGCAGTGGCCTAGAGCGATTGACCAATCTCGGTTGTTTAGCAGCTAGTTCTTCATTCATGGTTTGCAGTTGCTGAAAATAGATATTAGATATCTGCCGTAATCGTTTGGCCAGATTTTAGAAAGCTGTAGTGAACGACGCCGGTGCTATCCACTAAACATTCACAAGTAACTTTTTCTGAGTCAGTTTTCGTTTAGGCAGGATTTGGCTGGATCTCCAGGGTTTAGCGATGAGCGCTTACGACTGTCGGAAAATATCCACCTTTCATCACAAGTAATGATTCAATTTAAAATCTTCTTATTTTTGTGTAGGATGAGCAAAGTAACACAGTAGTCGGCGCGTGTTTGCAAGTTCGGTTCACTCTATTCATGAGGTACCCATCGTTCAAGTTTTTTTTTACTTTCCCGATTTGCTTTAAGTGGATTAATACAGTTTTATCACTTACCCCAAAGCTTGTAGCTATCTTTGAGGTGCTTTGTGATGGATCCGCTTCCACAATAGCCCGTAATTCCTCTTTTTCCACTTTGGTCTCCGGTCGTCCACGGGGGGGGGGGGTTGAAATTTCCAGAATGAAAACTTTGAAATCAAAAACGTGCCGTGCTTTCTTTCAAGGACACTAGCGCCGTACACATCATTAATGCTTCGAGCTGTTTCTGCAGCTCTGGTGCCACGGTAGAACTCGTACTCGTAAATATACCGATATTTCATGTTTTCCATTGTGCGGTAATAAGCGAATCCAAAAAAATAAATAATGAGTGAAAAACAAATTAATGACTATTTTCAAAACTCAAATGTACCAGCTAAATGAATTTATAAATTAGAATTTGGAATTCTTAACCAAAGACGAGATATTTCAGATCAAAGGAGATGGGGGGGGGGGGGGCAGTGGAATGCCTTATCACAACTGTAAGGATTTCTGAGTGCTCATTTGTGTCTGGAGTCAAAAAAAATTAACCACGAAGGCTGTGGCGAAAAAAAAGGCGTGTAGCGGGAGCTGCGCTGCGCTTCGCTACCTAACTGAAATGATAGGATTTCTGGATGCTTACTAGAATTATCATATTCTTTTACATTTTTATTTAAAGACATAATACATGAATATTACCCAACCAGTGTTGGATAAACCTGGGTTTATTAGGATAAAGTCCGAATCTGTATTGATTTTAGTGATATTTTGGGCTTTACGCAAGGAACTTAGATGATCAGTGACCGGGTAAAGCTAGGTTTATTTACTAACTTCTAAGTTTACCCGTAAAATATTTAAAATAATCTATGATCATGGACTGTGAGTTAATTTGGTACTTCAGTTTTAATAATAGGTTATTATATTACTATTTATTATTATTATGGGTTTATTAAAAAAACAATCACGTGTTTATTTACCGTAGCAACGATCACCAAGGTGATTGTGTAATCAATACGCTGCCTTTTAAAACAAAATCAACCCCACTTCATACAAAACATCGCAATGCGTCACTTCGACTCTTTATTTTCACATTTTTTTTGTGTTTTTAAGTTTGATTAATTTTTAATTTTCTAATAACCATGTGACCTAATGTGATAAGATAACAATCGTGTAATGATAATGAATTATCCTTATTTTTCATATAGGAGGCCAAGCAAAATGAATGACTATGGGGCCAAGAGAATACCGGATTACACCGAGCTGGCATACAAAGAAGCTGTATCAAAACTGAGATATTTTTTATCTGGGAATAGCGCGCCAAGTGTAAGTTCCTTTTTTCTTAATTTTCGATGACATTAGCGCGTTAATTACGTCACACTTTTTAAAAATCGTCATTCAGAATATAAAAATTTAAAAACAAACTTTTTTAATTTTTTTTTAATTATGGCTAGTGATTCCGAATTTTATTAAACCTTATTTTATTAAACTTTTAAAAGGCTAATGTATATATAACTTGAATGCACACTTATAGAATTTAATAAAAATATAACTAGTATCGTGCACTTATCAATCAATAAAGTATTGGCAATTCAATAGAAGTAGATCTGCTCTTTAAAGATAAACATTTTTAAATAAAATATTTTAGCTGTTAGCAAAATGTTGCCATGTTAGACCAACAAAGTAAGAGACGAAACGCTACGTTCATTTCAAGTCAACCAACCAATACAGCCTATAAAAGTCCACTGTTGAACATAAGTCTCCCCCATAGATTGCCTCATAGGGGTTTTTGCCATAGTTGGCACGCTTGGCAGGCAGGTTGGCAACTGCATTTTTTTTTAATTTTAAGTTGTTATCAGCCCATCTCCTGGTCTGTTTCCATCTGTCGTCTGTTTTGACACACACTGGCCGATATGGGGTAGTGGATATTCTTAAACCGCGAAACTATACGCCACTACGTTATATATATAGTATATAACGTATATATATATATAGTATGTACTACGCACTTTTTAGTACTAATGCAGAAACAATGGTCAACCTTTTGATGTACTCACGTAACGTGAAATGTACGTAGCGCTCCGACTTCCTTTTTTTATTGTTATGAGGTTGCCATGAATATATTACGTTGAAATCAAGATCTGTCCGTAGTAGTTTGCTTTTTCAATAAATACCTGAAGGTTAAAGTGTGACGTGTACCTATAAAGATGTACGGGTTTGGTGTCATGCCCTCATCGGCGTATTTGGCGAGTCACCGAGCACCAGCAGTCTCACGAAGGTCTGTCTGTCCGTGTAGCACGCTTGTTATAATGAGCCGTTTTATATTGCCATAAACTTCGTACCATTCGTAATTTTACATTATACATTAGTAAGTCAAAGTAACAAAAACTATTTTTAGATATTTTGTCAGACTTGAAGTAGTTTTGACTTCTGGTTTTCTTCATCATCATTATCATTTGTCCATAACTTCACTCTACTGGACACGGACATTTTCCACTTCTCGTATAGCGTTCTAGGTACACACAACAGTTACAAGCTATATGTCCCACTCCTGAACAAAGACCTCCTCTCATTTCTGAGAGGGTTTTAGTGCAAGGAAATGTCCGCCACGCTGGCTCATTACATGTTGGCGGACTTCACGTGTCTTCGAATTTTGTTTTTTAAATTTGTTGTATATGAATTATTCTTCACGATGTTTTCCTTCATCGCCGAGCGCGTGGCCAATCAGAACTTAAATCAATTGACAATTATATTAGTGCCGGCGGGGATCAAACCCGAGTTACTCATATTTACAGCGACCGCTTGGTATATGTTAAGGTTTAGGTATATACTTTTTAACTGTATATAGGTACTATATATCTAATTGATAAATGTTTCGTATAATACAATATCTATTAAATTATTACGGTTGACAGTTATGGATTTATATGAATCATACATTCATATTTATATTTGAGTCTTGAAACAGACATTTGTCCCGAAACTTTAAAAAAACTATTGTGTGTCCTTTTTATATATAAGGTGATTCCCATAATCCTACAAATTATAGACCTATCTATATTCTATCGACTTTGTCTAAGGTGTTAGAAAAGTTGATTAAAAAGAGGCTCACGCGATATCTTGAGTTTAATAAATTTTTCATACGTGTTAGAGCCACGCTACAGCTATATTATAGTTGTAGCAAGAATGGGTCGGCTCGGCCGGGGAAGGACCATGCTCTGACAGAATACCAACGTAAAATAACAGCGTAATACTGCTGTGTTTCGTATGGTGAGTGTAGAGATCCGGAGACCCTTATTTACTGGAAACGAGACATTCTATCTTAGTCCACAGGGGTGACACCGCATCTCCAGGTACTATATGGATTATTCTTGAAATATAATAGACAAGTAAGTTAAAGCCTATATACATACACTGCTGGGCATAGGCTTTTTCTCACTAGTGAGTGAGATTTCATTGATTGAGAATTGAAATTGGGCGGGAGGCACTACCTTTTTTATATTTCCATTAATATTTCCATTAATGTATGTGTTAATCTGCACTAAAACTGCAATAAACAATTTTTCTGTTGTCGGCAGCAAAATTACGTCGAGCGCTTAGTTTTGGGCATTTTAACATTTTTACTATCAATTTTTGATGTGATTTACTAGGTACGTAGTTATGGAGGATCAATATCCATGAAGAATTTAGAGGAGTCGGATGGAGATCTGGACAAGAAGTACACGAGTACGTACAGCACTTTCGGTGAATACAAAACCCGGCCGCGTCTTACCGCAAAGTATACAACTTTATACGCCGACAGCTTAAGCAATTATACACCGCCTAAAGTCAGTATTGGTGAGTATCTTTTACCGTTTAGATAAATATTAATCTTTAACCTTTTAGGTGGTAAGGTTTCTTTCTTGTTTATTAGTCTATCCGAGTATTACTGATGCAACAGAAGTGCTGTAACGGAAGCAAACACAGAAACAGAATTTAAAAGTAAAAAAAGTAGTAAAAAAAAAGAAAAAAAAAAGATTTTTTTTAGCAGAAACAGAAACGGAAACGGATGTAAAAGCGGAAGTGTAAATATTATGTAAAAAGTACAATTTATGACAAATATACTTTTTATAAAAAAATTAAAATTAAAGTAGTAAGTTATATTTTCTGATCTTGATTCTTCGGTGTTCTTCATATAGTTCTTCATGTATAAGAATAGCTTCGCAAGATAACGCAAAATAAACGCTGCTTGGAAGAACGAAGAAAGGTTAAATATTGGCGAGCTAACGGCAATAGATTACGATCTTGTGTGCATTTCATTTCCTTCACATCATACTGAAGGTGGATTACGTATGTGTAAAAGGGATTGTCACTCTTGCTACTGGTGCAACATGGATTCTAACATTTGTAATGATGAATTCATCATTCATGATGACGTAAGTTGGACTTCATTCTCAATTTGAGGTCGGTATCTTTGGGGAAAGGTATGCCGTCATCAAAGTTCCGTTCAAATTTCCGTTATAAATGTTGCGAAGAAGCTGAAACGGATGTCAAAAGGCGTGCAGAACGTCCGCAGTTGCGGATGCAGCAGCAGAGGTCTGTTGCATCACTACCGAGTATGTATCAACATCTTACCTATTTCAGCCGCTAGCCGGCACTGCGGGCACTGCTGTGTTTCGGTCTAAAGTGGTACCTAAGGGTTGTGAGGCAATCCATCTTGGTTCTCAGAGGGACTACGCATCTGTACTCTGCAGCCTTCTTCATTTGAAGTTGGTTGAAGCTATACATACGCTGCAATAGCTACTTAACATCATATAGACTGTAAAACAATTTTATACAAGTTAACTTTTGAGTATCACCTCAAGAAATGCAACAAAAACAAAGCACGGTCTAGAGTTTTTTTTTTTTGTATAGCATTGGGTGACAAAAGAGCACACAGACCGTTCGATGGTAAGTGGATGGTATGACCCATAGACATCCACATTTATCCTCAACTAAGAATCAAAATGCAAATGCGCTGCCAGCCCCGAGGACCGAGATGGATTGCCTCGATTCCAGTAAAAAGGATATCCGGTTCTCTACGCTCACCATACGAAACACAGCAGCATTACGCTGGTATTTTGTATGAGCTTGGTCCTGCTCCGGTCGAGCCGACCCTTTACCATTTACCACATACGGGTGGTAACCTTAATGCAAAGACATATTAAACTAAAACCGTGTAATATGATGAAGTAGTGGAAGGGACTACGATATACGGTAGATTCTTTTGCGTCGCCACTATACGGAAGACAAACCGATAATGAATTCTTATAATGAGAAAAATATCTATCCCGTAGCTCCTCAACCAACTGCCGCGTCAACAGCGGCCGAACTGACCGGAGGTACCAACCCTGACGTCATCAACTTTATACAGAAGCAGGAGGAGTATATTGAACAATTGGAGCGCGAGAGTCAATATTGTAGAGTACGTATTTTTTCCGCAGGTTTAATTTGATATTTTTCACTAGCAATAATCGCATCTAATTAACCTAATTGATTAGGCAGAATATGTCTAGCACTGGAATTTTATGAAAAATTCTAATTCTATTTTTTTAATTTATTTATATTAATCAACAAGGATCATAGGGTAAAATTACATTCACTCAATTCTATTCTAATACTAAAATTATAAACCATTACTAATATTAATTATATCAAATGCGTTTAATAATAATAACATAACATGAACCGATATCACCGTTACAATACCATAACTGATTTAATTATATATAAACAAAACCACCAACAAAACTTACCATAATGGTATAATGTAATTAATTTGTTAAAATACAAAGAAAAAGTCTTAAATATATGTAAGTAAAAGTAGGTAATAAATTAAATAATATTAGTTCATAAACCTGGGGTGCCTGTCTGAGGCAATGGGTACATGGACATGAATCCAGTGCCTCAAAAAAGCACACTCGGGTTTCTCACTAATTACGTTTTAAGAATGCTGTTCGCGCTCCCACGAACCCCGATTTTTTAAAGTTTAAACTAATTAAATTTCTTAATTCAAAATCTAATTTGAAAAAGAATAATTTCGTTGATTATTATTTAGTTGATATTTATAATGTAGTGAATGTGTCCCACATGCCATCCATTGTTTCTCGGGAACCTTTGCAAACAACGCACCAAAGTTTTCTCCTAATCGTTATGGTATATGAACACATGGAAGACAAACAACAAACAAATGAGTTTTTATTGTTAGAAACTTATGAGTGCTCGCAAACCAAAACTATTGTGTTGTGGAGTGATGATTAAGAAAGCCAGTGTATTGAAGGTTATGATGTATTTCCATCTTATCTCTCTGGGATAACAACGCATCTGTGGCCTTTTCTGTTTTTTTTTTGCGCCCGAACCAAATATGGGCAACCCTCCGGCAACGGGGGAGGGAGGTGATGAATGCTCATAGCATAGCACACAGCCGGCTGTGTGGTTATGTGGAGACTTTTACCTAATAAACACCATCTTTTGGGCTTTGACTTAATAATCTGACGAGAGATCTTTAAGCCGTAAACGGACGCGACCCTCCTTGGGAGAAAGGAGGGCAGAAAATGGCGCCCTTTTCTGTTTGAAATTGGTGTTTATAAGCACCTGCCACCAATTTCAAACACAAAAAGTCATAAATGGCTGGCCGTAGTAGCTATTTTAGGACTGTTAGTTATCGCTGTTTCACTTCATTAAAAAAGCGGTCTTCATATTAGGTTAAAATTTTAAACTACTAAACATTTCTTGACCAGCCCGTGTAAGTGAGACAGACATGAGCCTATATCGTGTTAGAGAGGATTTGACCAAACCGTCACGCTTGGCTAAATACAAGCGCAGTACCAGACGTCTAGCATTATTGTTGCTGCCGTTCGTCGTCGTATTTTACAACACACACCGCCATCGGAGGCATTTTCCCGGCATATCCAATAGCCACTATTCTATTCTATTCCTATTTTCAAATAATTTTATTCCTTAGACATGTAGGTTTCTTCACTATATCCGCCGAGCACGTGGTAAATCAGCACTTAAAATTGCAATGAACCATTTTGTTGGTGCTAATGAAAAACCTGGACTAGGCTACTCGCGTTTATAAAAGTTATGTTCTGACTTAATACTTGCTCGGCGGCGAACGAAAACAACGCGAGGATACCTTGTATATAGAGCAATATAATATTTCCTTTTATAGTAGTTATTTAGTGCATGATCGTTATTACTTAGTCGAAATGACGCAGCCCATATTTCAGGATGAGCTCAACAACCTCCTGGGGAAGGTGAAGGAGGTTATATCTGAGAACGAGCATCTGCATGAGGCTCAAAAGAACAAGATCATCTCCCGCATGTTCCAGTACAACGCTGGCTCCGAGACCGACGAGTTGGACGATGTAGGCGACAGCACAGGCCTCGATAGTGATAATAAGGTGCGGTATATACTATTAGAAACGTGATAGCTTAGCAAGCAGTCAAGCTTTTTAAAAAGAATAAAAAAAGGGAGACAAAAGTATTATAGTGTGCTTTTTGAAAGCTAGCAATATGGTACAAGACTCCATTTTATTCGTGTCGCTGCCCCGAACAAAGTTTCAATGTGCCAGTCGCTCCGAAAAGTCAGGGCGTGTGCTGAGCGCAGTATTTTATAAAACAAGGTAATTTTTGAATTTTTTCGTCTGTCCGGTCTTTCCCTATCACTTTTATTTGCGATTTTTAGCGACGTCCGGTCTTCCCCTTGATGGCCAGATTATCTTCATCATGCATATAAAAATTTATGGCGTACACGTTTTAAGCGAAAGTTGAGTTTTGAAAAGTAAAAGCTTCTTATAGCGCTAAATTACGTGTAACCGAGATTAACGATTTGCGCCATTTTTCAGAAATCTGACGTATATGGATGTCGAGAAAATAAAGTTTTTGCCAGACTCTTTTCACTGGTCGAAAATCCGTCCGGTATTGCCCCAACGCACCTTATTTAATCATACCAAAAAAAGACGTTTCTTTTAATAGTTTTTTAATAACATTGTTTTATTATCTTTAATTTCCACTAAATAAATGCTCATGACATCACCGAATAAGGATGCTGAAGCTCATAGATACTTAATCCACTATTCATAAAACACAATACATATATGTAACACAACCCTGACCTGCGAAGCGACGGTGAGCAGAGTTAAATGCTTGATATATATTTTTTTTTTTTAATCTGTGGTACTGCTATCGCTAATCTAGCTGCCTATCAAGTGTGGAGATTAACAGAGGTCCAACTGTGGATTTTTATGGACTGATGATCATGATGATGATGGAAACCAACAGAAACAAACACAGAAGGACTGTATTTTATACAGCGCGAACGTCTGGGAATTTAAGAGTTCTACCCTCATTTACTTGTATATCCATTAGGCTTCTTCTATCTTCTGTTTCTTCGACATCATCATCATCACACCCATGAATATTAGAGAGCAGGAGAACGATCACTACGTACTAAAGCATAACCCGCCTGTCCTTGAAAATTGTAGCATTTTTAGCGGCGCTGACGTCAGTGAGCAGTGACTGCGAAGTTAGCTGTTTATGAGTACAAGTAGATGAAGCTAGTTGAATAATGTAGAAATTCCTTCCTACTCAACTAAGGACTAATCGTGCGAATTCATGCCCAGAGAAAGAAATTATTAAATGTAAAACTAACCGAAATAGAAACCGAATCCTAATATATCCTGTCGATTAGTTTTATTCTGTCGATAAGTTCTCTTTCTTTCCGTTCTGTTCTATTCGCTTTACCATTAACAAATAAATTGGTATTCATTTTGCTTTTCTTAGAGTTAGGTATTATTATTTTTTTCATTTTGTTAGGTATCTCCGTCCAAAACACGTCGCGCCAAGTCTCGCACCACGAAATTAGAAGGACCCAACATCGTCTTCGAGTCCCGGATCGCCGAATTGGAAGCGCAACTGACGCAGGCTAAGATAGACCTTAAGAAGGTCCAGGTATTAAAGACGTCCTTCATGGACTATAATATTATATAATGCTTATTTTTTACCACTAAACAATTTTATGCATAGTTAAAAAATAATGTCAAAAATGTTAATCATTATTTTTTTTCATGTGGCGCTGGCTATAAGGCCTTCAGCCATAGACCTACCACACCTAGACTGGCAAGGCATCCCATCTTAGTCCTCAGAGGTGACAACGCACCATCTACTTACCATCAGCTGGACTGAGTACTAGATTTTTACCTTTCCTTTTTATAAACAAGTGGTAAAATTAAAAAAAAAATACAACCGACTTAAATACAACTAAAAGCAGAACAACATCAATGTAGTCGAAGTCAATTAAATACGTATTATTAAGGAAAACTCAAAATCTACTGGTCAGATCTTGATCAAATTTATATGGAACCATATGAGAAACATCAGCTTTCAAATAAAAAAAACCATCAAAATCGGTTTATTTAAAAGAAAGTTCTGAGGTAATACTCTGATAGCAGTAGGACACATAAAAAAACGTACCGGCTGAATTGAGTACCTCCTCCTTTTATTTTATTCACAAAACTCTATGAAGATTTTTATATCTTCGGCTTGGATATTTTTGACTCGAGGTCCAGGATATTAAAAAGAGCAGTAAATTAGCTTTTATGTAAGTCATAAACATTGTATTGTATAGATTGAATCTCCTGTAATAAATATAAAAACTATTATTATTATGTTGTCCATATAATGAATAAAGATAAATGTTTTAGGATGAAAACAACGAAAACAAACGCAAACTTGCTTCTGGTCTCGTAGATTCCACTTGCCTTGATGGATTTAAGAGGCAGATTGATAATTTACAAAGGTGAGTGATCAGTTATCGAAATTTGATATTGCTGACTTCATGACTATTGTTCACTTCGTTTTGATAATGTCCTCCCAATTGAATTTCCGTCATGACTGCCAGTCCAAACGGAGACCATTAGGAAATCTGGGCAGGATAGGATTATAGTGCACGAGCCTGTGCGCAAACACAGGAGCACTCTCTATTCCTCTAATCTCATAGTACGATGGTACGGTTACCCAACACGATAGGAAAGAGATCAGTCGCAGGAATAACGGCTTTACGTGTTTTAAAAGGTATTCATATGGTATGCAGAAATAAAAACCAAATTTTAAATTTTGCCGCTTATGAAATTCGACCAAAGCCAAGGTTTATGCCTAAATCCGCCGTTGAGTATAAGCTACAGATAATGCAGAGAAAGCAATTGTATTCACGCTTACACTTGTGAGAAATTATATCATGCAATTTATAAATAACGTTCACACAATTGTAGTGGGTTCAATGAATCAAAACAATAATTTTAAAAAAATACTTTGATATGTAGAAGAGCACTACATGACGTGCTGGCTACAGTACGAATGGCTAAGGTTCACCGAGGAACGACCGCACAAACAAAATACCGAGTTTAAAATAGCAGCATAGTGGACCCCGGTGCGTACACTCGGTTAGTTCAACTGATCAATTCAAACTAAAACTGTTGATATTTTTTAAAATAGTGGATTTTTGATATATCGATCACTATAAATATATTAATATCGGAGTTTTACATATAAGTTTATTTATGGATATATCGAAAATCCCATATTTTACAATATATCAACAGTTTTAGTTTGAACTGATCAGTTGGAATGACCGTGTGTAGCCACCATAATACTAATGGTGTGTAACGTGAAATGAAGATCCTTTTTACTGCTAATGAAGGCATTTCATTTTAACCTTAAGCGGTAGCATCTTCATATTGGTTCTTAAATTAAAAAGAATAATATCTGTGCGATTAACACTAATGACATTTACTGCTTAAAATGCTAGAGAGGTTCAATTAAGGGTAGATTGATGTCTATGCGCCACAGCATCTACTTAGTCGTGTGCTTGTTTATTTGTTCCTCATCCTAATTGTATAAAAAGATATTACGAAAATCATAATAATTATACCAAAGTTTTTATATAGGGACTAATTGAAGAAAATTGATAAATCATTATTAATGGTTATGTCATTGTGTTGTCATTGGGTGCATTTGGCAGAAGAAAGCGCTAGCAAGCGCTTACTAGCGCTAAAATAGTTTTCGGCCAGGACACGATTGCTACTTCAGTAGCGCTGACACAATCCGCCATTTTGCTTATTTAATTTGTTTGTTTTGAAGTAGAGTTTATAAGTTGTTTTTTGCAATATTAGTTTTAAGTAATATAATGACATGAATAGACATATACATGTTATTAAAAATTCATGATTGGTAAGTTTTTAATATGAATACTTAATAAACATATATTTAAATTAGGTTAGGTTCCCCGGTTAAAACTAACATCGTGTCCTAGAGGAAAATAGCTACTTACGATTTGACAGCGCTTACCGCTTACGATCGCCATTTTAATTACAAGCGCTTGCTAGCGCTTTTTTCTGCCAAATGCACCCATTGTCATTCCGTATTATTTTAGAGATAAATCGTCCTTAGAAGCACAGATCGCAAAACTGAAGTTGAATTTAGAACAACAGGAGATTGATTTGGACGGTCGTTACAAGCGAAGCTCTGACGTGGTGGAGCACCAGCTGAGAGAGGAGAGAAACAACTTGGAGGCGGAAGTGCGACGGCTTAAGGTCAGTTACTATGATTGTCTTTCTCCTCATTAGGTAGTATACAGTCCACTCTTGGACATGACAAAAGTAAAGTATATTTACAGCCTTTATACATTCCACTACTAGGCAAATTTTGATTAGTGGATTATGGATAACGTGACCATGCACCCCGCTTTATGCAGGGCTTTCCGCTTATAAGCTGTGTCCCGCTGTTCTCATAATACAAAAGTACCCGGAGCTTTGCTCGGTTTTTTTAAGTTACATTTATATACAAATTACATGAGTAATAGTTTTTGATCTTATTGAAATAATAGAAAAAACTGAACTGGTTATTTGAATAAAAAAATCATGAGTGCAATTAGATAAATTAAAATTTTCGTATTTTTAAAAAAATACTAAAATAAGGGCTCGAAATAATAGATTTTCTCACAAAAGAAGGGAACTTGAAAAAAAAAGGGAAAAAAGTCGGACTCAAGACGGCACGCGAACCACGGAACACCGATATCACGCTCGAACATCCCATCTGAGCTATTACGATCGTTAGTTTTTCATTGCCTGAAAACATGGACAAAAAGACATTTTTTAAAAATAAATCCTAGCTAGATCGATTTATTGCCCCCGAAACTCCCTGGACACTAAATTTTATGAAAATCGTTGGAGCCGTTTCCGAGATTCCTGGAGAGAAGGTATAGGATATGTCACATTTTTACAAACAAAAGCAGCATACAAACCCTGTCGCAAGTGCTATCATTATGATTTCACTCCCCGTAAACCAGTTTTTATCATTTCATGATGACAGCAAAACTGGTAATAGTAAATAGCCTACAAAAGCCTACTTTACTCATAATATAAAAGCCTGTTGTTGAATTGGGCGGGTTGGCATCTGCAGTTTTAATAAGCAGTTAAATTTGAGTTATCAGGTAGATGCGGCTGTTGCCCAATTTCTGATTCAGTTTCCCTGTGTCACCTCTTACGACACTGATATGAGTTAGTTAATACTCTCGCTACGTCACTGCAAGGGTTAAAATCGTATAATATGTTAAAGTAACCATAATTTTATCAAAATTTAGTTTAGTGGAGAAACTGTTGCAGTCAATCTTGGCATCATCCCGCTTAGAGCAAAATTTTATTTTGATATTTATTTATAAAACTTTGAATTGCCAGGATGATCTAGCTAAAGAGAGGAATAAAATCCGCGAACTAGCCGGCGAAGGTACGCGTCGAGCGATACAAGAACGCAGCGCGGCGGAACAACGGTACAACGCGCATTTCGACGAGTTGCAACACGATTTGGCCGCGCAATATGACAACGTCGCCAAATTACAGGTATAATAATTATTCTAACTGCTGGCAACATAGAATAATCTAGCCTACTCTTGACTTTCCTCTCTCTCACTTTACACCTTTCTTTGTCGACTAGTATATGTGTAATCACAAGGAGTTGTTTTTGAATAGATTCTTCTCCGCCGCTATAATACGACCAAATTTAATAGAAGTGTGATAGAAGTACAAAAAATTATTTAAAATTGAATAAGATTGTTTAATGTAAACCAAAATTTCAAATTAAACTAATATAGAATACAATGCAGATGGATCTAGATCGGCAACGTCGTGAAGAGAGCGATTTAAAACGAGAGCTTTCGATGAAGAACGCTTACATAGAAGAGCTAAAGATGGAACTGAAAAATAAAACAGGTAACTGTGGAGCATAAATATTTACTTGTAATATCCTTTTTAGTTGTCAAAGTTTAATACTATAACTAATATGTAATATTAGGTGATATATACATATCTTAATATATATAAATTACGTGTCACGTTGTTTGACCACGATGGAATCCTAAGCTACTTAACCGATTTTAATCAAATTTGCACACCGTGTGCAGTTTGATCCAACTTGAGACATAGGATAGTTGTTTTGCCCATGAGTGACCCACAATTTTTTTTGCGAATTCAAGGATTTTTAATAGGACATGACAAAGGGTCGTCGAAAAGGGCAGAACAACGTCTGCTATATGCGTATGTATATGTATGTATTATTATATATATATATATATATATATATATATATATATATATATATATATATAGTATTTAAATAAGGTTAATAATTTTAAGAGAAGAGAAGTAGTTTATCCGTATGGTAATAGAAGAAACAAGCTGGTTGCACGATCTTAAGGGGAAATATAACCTCAAATGGCTTAGCAAGATCCTCCGTTATGCCGAAAGTATTGCAGCATTAATTTTTTAAATAAATATATGGTAAAGTTGAGGATTAATGTTAAGGACTATGTTGGACGAAAACACGATTCCGTAAAAATTTCTCGATAGAATAAAATCCAAAGTTACCTCGAAACTGAACAATAAACCGCTGTTATTCATAAAATATTTTAAATAACTGACTGAACTAACTATAAAGCAGTGCTTATGTTATTTACTTTTTTTAAAATACCATTATTTTCACTGTAAAAAGAAATTACCGAAACTATCGGCGTCTTGAAGCTTGATTCCTGTCGCCCCGTTAGTATCGCTTAGGCTTTTGAAGGGAGAAGTTGTGTCGCTTACGATCAGAATACACATTACGCTGTTGGACGACGTAAAATTAAAATGGGAAATAACCGTGATAAAAATAAGAAGGGACTGGGTTGGCGTTAAGAAACATAAATATGATAAACCTAATGAAATAAGTATCTAACGACCTATCTACTTACAGTATTAGTGATTACAAACATGTCGGTACATAGCATACGACGCGCGGGGAAGTGGGGGTGAAATTAGAATTTGAGCTGACTTACTATATCCCCTTAAGTACTGGTACTAGACATACTTTCGACAACATTTTTACGGAAATTGTAAGTGTTACAATTACAATTATATAAATACAATAATATTATTAAAATTACAAATTATACAACTACAATAATATAATTACAAATTAAAATACATCTCATTCACAATACATTATTTTATGTCAACAAGTCTGAAAATGAACATTGCATATATTCTTCTATGTTGTAAAAAGCGTGATTTAAAAATAATGTTTTTATCACTTGTCGAAACGCAATCAAAGTTTACATCAACTATGTCTTTGTAGCTAAGTAGCAGCTTACACAGTCTGGGTAGTGGAGAGTTGGAGCCAAGAACGGTTCTGCGGGTTGGAGGTTTCAGTGGAGCTATCGGATGACGTGGATGTCTTGAAGGAGCGCTAAATTCACACGCGTTTAGTAACTGTGGCCAACAAGTTTCGTGGCTTTTGCTTTTGCCACGAGAAAATTCATTTATCTTTCAAATCTGAATAACTTTTTTTTGGGTTGATATTTATACACATTGTCAATTATTTTAGAAGAGCACATTAATTTAGTTTGCCTCTGATGAAATTTCTTGCTATTTTTTATATAGGATAGGGTGACAAACGAACACACAGTCCACCTGATAGTAAGTGGTTGCTGTGACCCACAGACATCTACATAATATATCCTCGTATGCGATTCAAAATGCAGATGCGTTGTCACCCGTGAGGACTAAGATAGAATGCCTCGTTTCCAGCAAAAGGGATCTATTAAGTGAATTGCGTTGTCAGCGTGTGAACAGTCAACCCATTTCCCTTTTTTAAATAGTAGTAAAAATATTTAGCTTGCACTCAGCCTAAACAGTGTGCTAAACACAGCCTACTGATATTTTGGCCCGAATGTGTTGCCAGGTGCCGCATGTCTCCGACGCTACATCAAAAACTTGCTTCGACTTCCTACCTTAACACAGCTTACCCGTAATTCCAGCATCACTTCAAGCAGACTTAGCTCAAGCGCACGCTGAGAAAGCTTCACTTGAAGAAGAACTAGCCAACGCTCGTCTGGCTATGGAACGCCAGCAGAGGCAAGCCAAACACGAGACCAACCGACTCAACTCTGAGGTTAATGCGTTAGAATTATCTCTTGCTTGTTATTATTAATAAACGCTGAGACGTGGTAATTTAGGACATAAACGATGGCCAAAACATTTTAAAGTGCCCGAGAAAATTGACTTCAATTCCCTCTAGCAGTAATGAATTTGTTAATTGCACTTTTAAGAACTGATTTACCACGTATTCGGCGATGAAATAATTTTTTTTTTGTGTAAAAACTACGTACAAGATAGTTGTTAGTAAAACCTACAGTCGATCGGACTTATTCTATTGAAATACGGATTTAATTAGAGACTTCAATTGCTCTAATCTAATCTGGTCGAGGCAGTTAAAAATTGACAATAAAATATCGAGATCAGGAAGTAGCGCCTAAGTCGCAAGACCAAAGAGAAAACTTGCACTGCAATTTTTAGTTGGCCTACCAAGTATGGGAATTACCACTAATCTTTGCAACTATGGAAAGATCTATGTTATGCATTTATACAACAGGTTAATAATAACGATATCGAACAAACTAAAAACCAATTGTCAAACAGATTCAGTCACTTCGTCAGCGTCTCGATCGTGCCGATGCGGATTTGGTTCACTCGCGTCGTGAAAATCTACGTCTGTCTGAACAAATTTCTACATTGGAAAAAGAGGTATCAAAAAATAAAATACTCAAGTTAAAAAATTATATTTTTTTATTTATCTAAAACAGATCTAACAACTGATAAAATTAAAAATCATTAAAATTTGAAAAATATTAAAATTAAGTACTAATACTTCACTTTCCCACATCCTCATAAAAATAATAAATGAAAATTATATTGCTACAATAAACATTATAATACTTTAATTACTTATTTCTCTTCTTCTAGTTAAACATGAAAAGTTTGACACCCATATCTCCGGAGAAGAATAAGAAAGAGAAGGAGCTATCATCGATGCTCGAGACCATGGAAAATAAGCATGGTAAGTCACAATTAGATTAGTTGGTATCGGAGAGTATTTTGAAATAAAATCGAAATTAAAATAGAAAGTACAGTTTTTTTTAGAACAGTTAATAACTTAGTTACATTTGAATGCCCGTCCTTCTATTCATAAATGGGTAAGCTATTGATGTTTTGAGAAATTCAGTAATGGACCATTAAGTTATAAATTTGCTTCAAAACATTTATATTTTACCCTTTCATTGGTTGCGCTTTGCGCTTGCATGTCTATAAGAGTAATTTGAAAGGGCTTTTGGATAATTATTTCTTCAAGTCAATAGTTTATTCATCAGATTGTTTATATAATATACTAAAAGTACATCTATTTACTATATCTTTCCTTCATACGGTATATTTGTCAAAGAGTACCTACATTAGTTTAGTTAATGAAGTTTGCCAAGTTTATAGATAATAAATTTGGTTCCACAGCTAAAACCGTGGCTGAGTTGGAGTCCATGATACAATCACAAAACAGTCTGATGGAGAAACTCACCGGTGAATGTCGTTTGCTTACAGACAAGCTCGACGACGCAAACCGTAGGCACAAGTACGAAACATTTTTCAAATTTTCGCATGAGCTAGTAATTGAACTTGATCTATTTAATCTGGCACTATTTAAATTCTTCACATCTAGTTCAATTCAATTTAACTTACAAATCCTTAGTTAAATGGCTGATTATTGTCATCATTACCCATTTAAAATGAGCAAATATCCTAACGTCGTGTTGTGTTTTTATTGGCGGCAGGCAGAGCGCAGAGTCGCAGCCGTGTAGACGAACCAATCAGAACACAACGCGACCGTTCAAGATCCCGCGATCAGCCAGGGAACCGTCGTTCCAACAAGCACCGATCCGGAAAAGAGTCCGATTCGTCGAATAATTACCAACCGATTGTTGTTGGCCCTTTGACGACAAATCAGGATCTCAAAGATTTTCACGGAGAGAAAATATACAACCTACCGCTAATGATTCAACAGCCCTTTTTACGTGAGAAAAAGGAGCCAATAAAAGTTGATATTAGTGTTAAGCTTATACCTAAACCTAAAAAGAAAGATAGAAAACGGCGTGAATCACAGTTAGACGAAGCAGCAAATACACCAAATAAACCAGTTAAAAATAACATTAGTATGATAGTTACAAGTGATGACATTCATGTTCTAAATGAAACGGTAGAAATGGCAAGAGAAGATGACTTATCACCGAAAGTGTCTGATAATAAAGAAGCACGACAAACAACGGACCATATTAAAGAAGATAATAGAGAAGTATTATCAACACCGAATATTGATTTGAATACACATCAGAACGATGAATCCTCTGATTCTAAAAGTAATTTACCAGAAGAAAGTCCATATAGTAAAGATGTAGCTAATAATGAAATACCAATAGATTCTCATCAAAATGAAAACAAAGACGAAACGAAACAACCAACTGAGGAATAAATAAAACCGAATAAGTTACTTATACTTTGTATTCACATGCAAGTGGTGTATACGACTAGCTATTTTAGTTTGTTGATAACTATAATCTATAAACGCATAGAGGTTGTAGTCTCATAAATTCTATATGTCTACTTCTAAAAAGCAGTCTTGCGTAAAGAGTTCTAGCAACAATTCTAGTGCAAGTTAGCAAACTTTGCATTTCCTCATAATATACCTTACTTCCTAAACACTTAGTTATGATATTTGTTACACTGAGCGTATGGTGAATAATATAAATAGCTATTATCAATTTTTGGATGCCCACATTGGGAATTTAACTCCGATTTAACGTTCTATGGAAATAAAGGGCTTTATTTCCATAGAACTCTTCCTAACGTTATTTGATTTTTTTACGAATAAATACAACCTCTATTTATTAATTAGCTTTATATGTAGTGTGTAAGTGCTTTGAATGTTTTAGACATGGTGTTGTAATTCATTTCACGGAAGTAAGTAGATCTGAGCGTACAAGCAGTGCTGCGAAAATGATTTCATTAATGAAGTTAATTTGTAGATACAATATTATAAAAAGTTCCAACGAAACAATAACTTGAATTACAATTTAATCAAAAGGCTCAGTATCTTGTTTATACTTATAGTGCAATATTCATGTGATATTAATTTTATCAATTGTTTTGTTAATGTTTTATTTGCTTGTTTATTAGAAAACTTTAGAAAATAATTCTATAATTACGTAATAACTTAATATTGAAAATGGGTAATGATAACAATATACATATATTTAGGTCGTGTGCAATAAAAGCTTCGAGATACTCTAGAAAATTTATTTCTCTAATTTCCGTTTCTTCGACATTTAGTCACGCATCATAATTTATTTAATGGAGAAAATCACTTTAAAGGTTAATTTCCTTTCAGAGGGGAAAAAACACAATTGCTTTGCAGGAATGCTGAACTTATGAGAAAACTTAGAAATCTTTGGTCTTCTCATAAGAAATATTGCACAACGCTCGCTCCTATTCGATGTTACACACCACTAAGCGGCTATCCTAACAGCAGATCATCTTACGATTTTGATCGCACTTATTTTGATACATCAACGCCTCACACTTATAGAAATAGATTTAGAGGCGATGATTCTAGCGATTTTAGCGCAGCTAGAGATGAAATTGGTAATTTAACGAGAAATCTAAGCGATCTTTCTATTGACAAACTTGTCGATTGTGATGACGATCCTGCTAAGGTAATTTTTATGGGGTGAAACTATACAGATCAGTAGATTAGTGTTTAATGCTTTTTCGCATATTTGATCTCAAATTGTCTCAAATCCAGCATATACTTACACAACTGGATTGTTATAAATCCATGTAGCCCCAACAAGTAATTAGTACTTTTCTATAGCTTGCATGATGAGCTTTAATTTTTTAATGATATTTTATTGTACACATAAAATACAGGTTTTATGTATAATAATATGTAGTGTATGAAAGGTAACGAAAATTAATTTGTTATTAACAATATAACAATTTGTTGTAAGGACCTGAATGCAAAATAAACCTTGATTTCCATAAAAGACAGATTAGAAGTTTAATATTTACGTAGTTAATAAGTAATAACAGTCTTATTTTATAAGTGTTGCAATTTCTAAAGTACTAAAAGTCAAACGCGACAAAACCCTTAAATATTGGTTTTATTTAAAGACTGCAATTAATCAATGCAGTCCTACAATTCTTTAAATTTCCGTAAAAGACAAATTAGAAGTTTAATATTTATGTAGTTAATAAGTAATAACAGTCTTATTTTATAAGTGTTGCAATTTCTGAAGTACTAAAAGTCATGCGCGATAAAACACTTTATATATATATATATATATATATATATATATATATATATATATATATATATATATATATATATATATATATATATATATATATATTGGTTTTATTTAAAGACTGCAATTAATCAATGCAGTCCTACAATTCCTTACGTACTTCACAAAAAATCCTAAAAGCCTCACTTTGAAGGGTTCCTGAGAGTAAACTTAGTAATAAGCGGTAACTGAAACGTCATATTTTACACTGTTTGGTTAAATTGAAAGGCACCTGATGCGTAATTTATGATTATGGAAAAAATAAATAACTTTGCAGAAAATTTTCCTGGAATGATTAAATTCGTGACCGTTCATAACTTCTAGGGAAACAAGATTAAAATATCTTAAATTTAGGGTGATCTTAACAAAGTCGCTTTAAATATTTTCTGTCTATAAGAATCTGTACATAGCATGTGATTGTTACGTGTTGCACGTGTGTGTGAGTGTTGTCACGTGTGTGTCGGTGTGCTACAGGGAAGAACTGGCCACTCTGCATCGTCAAGTAGAGCAGCTGGGACGTTCGCTACAACCAAACATCACGCCTGCACCTAACAATTATCGAGGTATGATCTAGAAATAAATTACGGCTTATAGCAATGTACAGCAAAAGTGTAACAAATTTATTAAATAGCCTTGATTTAAGTGCTAGATTCTAAATAAATTTTGCGGTAACTTTTGTAGGGAAAATAATTAGAGATGGGCCGAATATTCGTTTCATATTCGGTATTCGGCATATTCGGTAGCTTTACCGAATATTCGTATTCGGCCGAATATTCGACTAAATCACCGAAAATTCGGTAAAGTAGTATACTCAATGTCCACTGTATTGAAATGTACGAATTAAGTAATGCCATGTCTTTCATAATTTTACTGTTGAAAGTATATTTTATTTATGGGTTAAATCTACTTGTATTATTTTTAAATATATTATATAATTAGATTTATTTCCAATTATAACAAATAGAAAGCTTGATAAAATGATTTTGGATTCAAACAAAGAAACATTACATCATATTAGTAAATTACACTTTACTTTCGTCGTCAGTTTCTCTGAAACAAGTCCAAATAGTAGTTCTCCTGCCACTCATTTTTATCATATAATTATCAATTTTCACTAAAAATAACACTACGAGTTTTTTTTCGCACAAAACTATATAGTCAAAGCATAAGCATGTGCATTTGCTCAGTACAAGATGATGATACAAAAACATGTCAGGAGTACCGGGGGATTGAGTGGCAGGGTGCGGCACTAATCCCGCGCGCTTTACGGTAACAAGTTTCGACAGAAATTGGTTAGGTACCGTAAGTGATACTGCCGAATAATGTTCGGCCGAATATTCGGTTCGGTAAAAGTTTTACCGAACTTTCGGCCGAATATTCGTATTCGGTGAAATCCATGTTCGGCCCATCCCTAAAAATAATTTCAGAACTGTTTTTCATCATCATTTTAGTAATTGTTGTGGAAATCCACAAAAACGAGAAAACGCTTTATATACACTGTTTTATCTAGGATTATTCCATAAACAAAGGGCAACAAACAAATCATTAGCCACTAGTAGTAGTATTCATCAACCGCTATCCGGTGGAAAAAGGAGAGAAGAGACTTAAGCTGCGCACTTTTAAAAATATATCTTATAAGATATCGAGAAGCTGGCTACTATTTGCCTTTGCTTTTAAGATTTGTTTAAAAAAATCGAGGTTACCAATATGTCTTTTAGCACGTTTTCAAATATTTAAGCTTAATGAATTTCAATAAGTGTTATAATTTATAGTTTATGTTAAATAAAAAAATCTATTTTTATGCAATTGTCTATAAATAAATTCCAATCTTCAGTAAAAAGATAGTAAAACTCATATTCGCTTAGATAATATTTTGTGGGATGTCATTAATTTATTTTCTATGTTGTTGTATATATGAATATTTTATTATTAACTATAACATTTAATTTAATCTTTGTAGATTGTGTTTTATGAAACACATTTTAAGCAGCGATAAATTTAATCAAATACTTCTTACAGCACCTCCCACGCACACACCCGGACCCAACAGAACTTTACCACATTCCACGACCAGCTCCAGATCAAACGATCCCGGAGATGACTCCTCCGGATACAGCAAGGTCAAACAACAGCCGAATGAGCAATCGGACAGATTTATCGATGGTAAAAACAAAACAGCAAGAATAATTGAGCACAATAATGAACATCACATAATCGATGATAGTGAAGCACAAAAAGCTAACGAGCCTACACATGAACAAAATGAATCAGACGGTCAAATTATTACCAATAAATTAGAGGAGGAAATTGAATACCAAAATAATGCAACAGTAGAGCAACCTGTCGTTGTGCAAGACCAACACGGAGATCAGAATTACAGCGAAGATAACTACGAAAATTACGATCAAAGTTATGAACATGCTCCAGTTGAAACGGATTACAACCAAGAATACGAACAAAATCAGGATCAACACGGCGAGAATTATGAGCAACAAAATTATGCAGAGCCTCAGTATGAAAACTACGAACAGTATCCTCAGCAATACACTGATCCAAATGCACAATATGATACCCAATATGAAAATTATGCTGAGGATGGTAATCTCCAAGAACACATGGATCATTCGCAATATAATCCCGAATATTCATCTGAGTATCAAGAGGTCCAACCTAGTGAAACAGAAACCCTACCACCTGACTCTATACATCCTGAAAATATTCATTCCGAACAATCCGAATTTCCAACACAGTCTGAAAGCAAAAGAAATAGTCCGAAAAAAACTGAACCAAATGAAAGTTAGCGCAAGTTAGGTTAGTTTAAGTTTAATTTTTCGTGCAATAATTGTTATTTGTTATTTGCTTTTTCTTTAGTTTATACTTATTACATAAATTATAATTTAATATATGATGTATCACAAGTCCATTTAAATGTGATAGAAATAAACTAGTTAAAACATAAAGTTTAAATAATCATCATTGACATCTTACTTTACTTTCTATTGGATACCTCGTACGGTAATGTTGGTCACATTTAAGGCCGATTTACACTTCGACAAGTACAATAGTGAGTTAACGAAACGAGTTAAGTAAAAATCTCGTTTGAACGGAAATCAGTGTGTTAAGTAGCAAATTATCAATTAAGTTGAACGGGATAGCCAGTCAGCCAGTCTATTTTTCGGCGAGTCAAGTACGAAGTGTTGCCCTCCCACGCGTCTCCCGCTATCCCCAACTAAACTCGCAACTTGTACTCGTGTGAAAGAGCGAGTTCAGTTCAATGCATATGTTGACAGGACGCAACGTGCTCGCGTTCGACATTCGCAATATAAAATTGTACTTTTTTTTACTAAACTCGCCACGAAGACATTTGAATGCTACTGCCCACTTAACTTTTTATTATCAACTGCCCTGTAACTAAATTCGCTAATGTACTTATCAAAGTGCTAGTCGGCCCTTACGATTGCGATTGATATGGGATTTAATTAGGTCTATTAAATAAATCGCCATTACGTGGACTGTCAAAAATCATCTGCGCAAAATAATCTGAGCCACCATATCCCTGTCTTATTAAATTTTTATCAATTTAATAGACATAATATTAAATTTAACTACAACTAATAGCCGATTTACACTTCGGCAAGTATAGCGAGTTTCGTTACAGGGCAGCTGACAGTAAACGGTTAATAATTGTCAGGTTAATAATTAACGTAATTGTCAAAGTTTTTTTAATTATTTTGAAATGTTATAAGGAAGGTGCTGCTAACCCTCTCCTGTTTCAAGGATATTCTTTGTTTTTGAATTTTCTAAATAGGTGGTAAGTTTATTGAAATTTATACAATCTCTGATGATTTATTTTGGTACCGCAAGAAAAGATAATATGAAACGTGCGGCGGAATAGGAATGACTTAAAGGCGCATTAGTTGTGGAATGAGAAGCGACAAGGAAAGAATAATAATTCATTTACTGGGTGGACGCCCAACTCTCCCATTGCTGGTAAGAACTCACTCAAAAATATTTTAACCAGTGATTGTCGGTTTTGTAAGCTACAATGTGTTTTTTTATAATACAAATGACAAACGAACGTACATTCCACCAGCAGTCCATAGACACCTGTAACCAACTTCAAACAATGAAGGCTATAATAAGTATACGTTGTCACCACAAAGGGCCGAGATGGAATACCTTTATCAATAGTAATAATGGCTCTTTTCCCTTAAGAGAGGAACACATCAATGCAGGCAATGCTATCAGGCGGCAGAAAACTCTTGCTGTCGCCAAATAAATCTATAAGAGGTTAGTACCTAACGAACTAGAAATAAAAGTCCTATTACGTTGACGGCTAATCTAGTAGGTAGTTAGGAAGTATTTATGACGTAGCGGATACAAAAACCTGTTATATGATGTTTGAGAGTGATGGAATAGAGTGCACCTACGCTTGCGCACGCTTGGGCACTATAATCCTGCCCTGAGCAGACTAGACTCCGTTGGGACTTGAGACTGGCCTGAAGTGCAGTCTAGTGGACGTTATTATTATTATATGATATTTTTATGCAATATTAGATACATAAATTAATTAACTGTGAAAAATGTGTAATATTATTGCTTAAAAAAGAGTCAATCTACGTGCGACGTCGATAATCCAATTCAATCGACAAACGTTGAGGCGTTTATAATTTTGTAAAAATTACAAATGCCAGACACTACATAAACAACGTGTTCATTTCAACATCCGGAGTCCGAAGTAAAGTAAAATAAAAATGTTTCTCTTTACTTTAATAGTAACCAGCGTTGCTGTAAGGGAATTTTGTAGCGGTTGGTTTTTTCATTTACCGATCATTTTAGTCTTACATTTTTTCATCTTTACAACACGATAACCGCAGGGGTTATCTGTGCTGTGCAGTCATCATATACATGGTGTACCCTAATTATTTTATATTAGATCATACAAACAATAAATAATACACACAAGTCATGGTAGCACGGGGACTAAGCGCTCGCTGTAAATTTCAACGTCCAATTTGGTCCTATAGGTGTCGTGAAATGTGGTTGTGAGGAAACCCAGAAAGACCTTAAGGCCTCGAATAGATGGCAGTTTAATATTTTTTTATATAATATACATCACTAGCTGGTACCCAGCGGGCAGAAACAATAATTGTGGAAATATCTAATCGGCTCTTAACACAGGAATCCACGAGCATCACAACGAAGGTAATAAAATAATATACTATTTATATATTGAGTGTACCTAGTAATGCAAAAAATGCCCAAGACTTGCTTCAATAAAAATAAATAATTAATGTTTTTTTTTAATATTTACATGAACCCTACTAACTGATACAGACATAGGTAGACGATTTATTGACATCAATACACTCCTCACATGATATTAAACATTTTTAAGTGAAATAAAAACTTAGGTACCTACAATGTGAAAATAAGTAAAAATAAGTATCATTCAATTATTTTACGTATTATTCAAATTTTAATTTAATTCAAAGGTTTAAATATATGTATAACTAAATAATTTTTGAGGTATTCACAATTTCACATATCTACTAAAATGATTAAAAAATCCATAGCTAGGCATTTCTTTTGACCAAACCACATTCAAACTAGGGATCCATCTGATACCGATACCGATACCGATATATCGACGATACTCGAAGTTTTGGCCGATATATCGGCATCGGTGATATTTTTATGGCCTATTCAACGATACTTTTAAAATTTCGTGCTTTAAAATATATTCCCTTGCAAACGAGGCACGAACTAACTACGCTGTGCTGTGTCTTGTTTCCTTATTTCCACTGTCTACTATGAGCTGTAATTGTCTCAAAGAAGAGGATATCAAAGAATGTATCTCTCTACCTAAGGTCTCCCAATATATCGAGAGGCGCACATCCGTTCGTTTTCCAACGCAATAACATCTTATACCCAAACTCGAAAAAATGGCGCAGAAGTAGTACCTACTCTAGTTTCCAAATCTGTCGCATCTGAGAGATTATTTTTCACCGCAGGTCTTATTCAAACAGAGTTGCGAAATCACTTTTCTCCGCAAAACTTAAGAATACTTAGTTTTTACTTACTTACTTATCTTCACGCACAATCCCTAACGGGGTAGCCAGAGAGAACAGATCGCCAAGTGTCACGATCCTTACATACCTCTTTCGCTTCTTTCAGGTTCATTAACTTCTTCATACATGCACGTCTAGGTATCCGAGTACTCTTGACCCTCCCCTCTTCGAGCAATTTGCTCACATGGTCTTCGAAAGTTAGTCTCGGTCTACCTCGACACCTTTTAATATTTACTTTCGCCTATATATTTTCTTCACCATTCGGTCTTCACTCATTCGCTCAACGTGCCCAAACCATTGGAGTACGCCCCTATCAATTTTTGTGATAAGGTCATCTTTCAATCCTGCCATATTTCGAATCTCTTCGTTTCGCTTTCGGTCGGCTATGGTAACGCCACACTTTTTACGAAGAGATCGCATCTCCACTGCATTCAACTTGCTTTTATGCTTCTTCTGGCATACCCAGGTTTCGCTGCCATATAACAAAGTCGGTACCAAAACTGCGTTATGTATTGCAAGGCGTGCACTCTTCACTCTCACCACGCCTTGCCTTTTGACTAATGCATTCAGGGCACCATTGACTTTGTTTCCGGCAGCGACACGCCTATCCACATCTAAATCACATCTTCCATCCCGGCTGAAAGCACTCCCCAAGTATACAATTTCATTTACCTGTTCTAGACATTCCTGATTTACCCACATTTCACATTACGTTTTCTCTTCGTCCTTTTCAAATACCAGAACCTTAGTTTTATTAGCATTCAAACGGAGACCTTTAACTTCACTTTCCTCTTTCATACACGTGACTAATGCCTGCAGTTCTGCTTCTGATGGTGCAATAAGCACTGCATCATCAGCATACAGCAGACAATTAACTTTAATGTCATCCAATTTCACACCCAAACAGCTATTTTTCAGCTTCTGTAAACAGCTGTCGAGATACAGTATGAACAGCCAGGAAGACATGACACAACCCTGTTTTACGCCCGCTTGGACGCTAAACATGGGTGACAGGTCATGCCCTACCCGCACACAGGCTTTACAGTCATAGTAAAGTGACTGCACAGCCCTTAACAATCGACCATCCACATCATATCCCGCCAACAGTTCCCACATTTTCTTCCTTATAACCTTATCAAATGCTTTCTCCAGATCCACAAAAGCACAGAAAATCCTCTGGTTAACACTCAGAAGCTTTTCCGTGATCATGCGAAGAGAAAACATTTGATCCGTGCATCCTCTTCCAGGTCTAAATCCGCATTGTGCCTCCCATAAGAATCTTTCCGATTTCTCTTGCATCCTACGTGTCAAAACCTTCGAGTAAACTTTACTTTCTAAACTGGTCAAGCTGATCGCCCGATAGCACCCGCAGTCAAAATGTGAACCTTTACCTTTATATAAAGGCACAATGACCGCGGATCGCCAATCATCCGGGACATCTCCCGTCCGCCAGCACAAATTGCACGGCAGATGAAACTGTCCCAGACGCGCGGCCTACCATGCTTGATCATTTCAGCAGTAACTCTGTCTAGTCCCGCAGCCTTACCACATTTCAAATTTCGAATCGCATGTTCAATCTCTTTCATGCTGATGACCTCAGTGTCATCGAGGTCCGTGTCTCGCGTGCCAGTCACGGCGTCACCCCCCGGATCTTTCACTAAGATCATGACACGCATACATTTCTCTATAAAATTCACTCCATCGCTGTATGACGTCCGATTTTTCTGAGA